GCATACCCTGGCAGAAACAAACACCCTGTGCCCAGTGAACAGCTTACAGTGAGTGATTCTCAACATGCATGGCGCCTCGACCCTTTAATACAGTCCCTCACGTGGTGGCGACCCCCAACTGTAAAATTCTTTCATTGCTGCTTCATAACTGTAATTATGCTATTGTTGTGAATCATAATGAAGATACCTGTGTTTTCCAAAGGTCTTAGGTCACCCCTGTGAGAGCGGCATTCAACTCCCCAAAGGGGTTGTGAACCACTGGCTGAGAGAGAGACAGAGGCAAAAACAGAGGGATAGAGATAGAGAGACAAAGGGATAGAGACAAAGAAACAAAAAGACAGAGACAGAGATTGATTGAGACTCCATGAGCCCCTTGGGGAATGTCCACAAATGACCCCAGACTCCACCACTTCCCAGCAGTGTCACACTGGGGACCAAGCTGTTGATGGATAGGTCTTTGGGGGCTTTATAGTTCTAATCTACAGTACTATAGTACGGTCCTACAGTACTGAACACGAGCACACTCCCCTACTGTCACCTCCAACATTGTCCCCCATCTGAAGCATGCTTCCTGAAGACCAGGCTGGCCTTGAACTCACAGAGATCCATCTGCCTCTGCCACCCGAGTGCTGGGATAAAAGGCGTGCGCCACTAGTGCCAGGCCACACACTTTCTCTTTATTTTTTAAGATTTATTTGCTTATTATGTATAGAGTCTTCTGTCTTCATATGTCCTTGCAGGCCAGAAGAGGACACCAGATCTCATTACAGATAGTTGTGAGCCATTGTGTGGTTGCTGAGAATTGAACTCAGGACCTCTGAGAGAACAGCTAGTGTTCTTAGCTACTGAGCCATCTCTCCAGCACCAGAATTAACAGAGTTTTAACTGCTCAGAGACGCTCTAGTCTTTCTGATTCAGACGCATTCACTTCTGGAATGTAGGGGATGGAGCTAATGGGTCTAATGGGTCTTGAAACCAAGGTTTTGCAGCTGCTGCTGCATCCTTCCCTTTGACAGTGGACAATGAGAATATTCTCAAGGCTTTGTTAGTTTTTTTAGACATTGCCAGGAAACCAATTGGTCACCTATAACCACACACAGACCAGCCACCTTACCTAAAAGTTCAGAGGCAACTATGTAAGTCCCGGAGACTGCGGGGTGAGAGGAGGAAACCTATGTTGATAGTATCGAGGACCCCCCCCTCCCTCAAGGATCTAGCCTAGCTGTGTTCATATACACACAGCAGTGCTAGGGATGCTTCCTTCTGCCCAGGTAATTACAGACTCAGTTACATCAAACAGGGTAGATCTGCCCCCATCTGAAACACAGATGAATAATAACAATGGATATCAGAGGGTGTCATAATGGTGGCGAGGGGACAAATCTTGAGGGTGGGCATTTCTTGGCCTTACCAGACTGAGTCTATGGCCAGCAATCCCCCACAGCAGATGATGGTGTTGTGTGACCTATGGGTCACATCTGGTTTGCCGACAATTCTTGCATAGCCCACAAATGGGGTGATTCCTTAACAATTTTGAGGGGTTTTGCTGTGGAATGACCTTTCTGTACACTGTGAGTATGCATTACTCTCATTGGCTAATAAAAAGCTGACAGGCTGGTAGCCAGGCAGGAAGTATAGGTGGGACAGTCAGACACAGAAGACTCTGGGAAGAGGAAGGGCAGAAAATACAGAAAAGGCCATGAATCATGTGGAGAGACACAGATAAGAAATGTGGGTCAATTTAAGTGTAAGAGTTAGCTAGTAACAAGCCTGAGCTATCGACTGAGCATTTATAAATATTAAGCCTCTGTGTCACTTATTTGGGAGCAGGTGGTCAGGACAGGAAAACTCTGCTTACAGAGTGTATACATAAGAGAAAGGAATAAGACTTCATAACATGGAACTTACATAAAATCAGCTTCTCCTCTAGGTTTGATTAGAATCCAGTTTCACTCATTTATTACGTCTATAGCTACCAGTGCCAAATGTACAGAGACCACGGGGCTGCCAAGCCCAAATATTTACTACCTGATCCTTTAAGGAAAAGCTTTGTTGACCTATCCTCTCAAAGACCCATGCCTCCAATTATCACACCGCACTGGAGCCCCATATCATGAAGGTCCTACATGGAGACTTCTGCGCGTAATCTGGCAAGCAGAGGAGAACCTTCAAAACTGGTTCCAAACCAAGGCAGTGTACTCAACAGAGTGTCAGTGGAGAGCTAAAAGAGAAGAGAACGTGGAGGGAGGGAGAGCAGAGCTGAGAAGCAGCCACTGGAGTCATTGAACTTGCAGTAAAGGACATCAGGAGGAGGCAGACCCGGGGCACAGTGGTCCATGGCAGAGATGGCAAAGAGCAACCAGACAGAGGTATGAAGGCTGAAGGCACAAACATGCCAAGAGTTCGTGCCTAAGGGACACCTGAGAGCTTGCAAGAGTAAGGTGATTTTGCACCTGATAGAATTCCTAGCCAGCAACCTGATGTTCTTGGATTCTCAGTAACGTTTTCAGAACTACAGCTCAGCATCACAATACGGATTGCAGCAAAGGAACGTCTCTGGGTGGCACATACTTTAATGTGTGTCATTGCGTGAAATCATAGGCAGAAATGATTCCAGAGGCTTACCTTAATTTCCTATTGGATTGACATTAACTGGTCTGAGCGGAGTAGAGGGAAAAACAATAGTTTTCCAAAGAAAGCCAGGGCTATACGATTATCCTGATAAAATTGTATCAGAAGAGAAGCAATTGTATCAGTTTTACAATGCTCTGTGAGCAAATATGTTTAGTGCCTGGGGTGGGGTTGGGGTCTTTGAAGCGATTGTTTTAAAGAGGGAATACATTGCAAAGTGAAAAACCTCTTCATCACTCTAGCACTTGAACCTGACATAAAGTACTAGTCTGCTATTCAGAATTCATGCTCGGCCCGCATGGGGGTGCTGCACTCTGGCCACCTGGGAGGCTGAGGAAGGAGGCTCATGAATTCCGGAGCAGACCAGGCTATATAATTGAGATGCTTTCTCACATAAGATATGTAATAAACAATTAGAGACTGAAAGGTCCAAATGAAATTTTGAGTTTGAGACTTCAGGATGTCAAAGAAAAGGTAGCTGGCTTTTGTGTACATCTTTCCATTTTTAGGGTGGAGACATTTCTCTAAAAAAAGGTTAACAGCAGCATAGCTCCGTGTAATAGCACAGATGAGACTTTTAAAGCTCATTTTTCTAAGATAGCTGCATAGTACCAATTTTGGAATAAATCTCTACTTTTTGAATATGTACAATTTTCTCTAATTACCCTCATATTTTTTATTCTACTTAATCCACCAACTTTCTACTGTAGAAGCACCTGACTCATTATGGTGTTTTTATGTGACGTTTGTTACAGTTAAGAGTCTATAAGATAAAAAGACTTCCTGAGATATTTTAGCCACAAAAAGTCAGCAATGCCCATAGATTATCCAGTTATTCTAGGAGCAATGACCAGGCTTAGGTTCATTCTTTCAGAATCCAAACCACATCAGATACAGAGAATTTCAAATGACTTCTTGAGTTGTCATTTTTTTAAAAACATTTTTTGAGGGGAGATATGGACTGTGACATGCCTGTGGGGGTCAGAGGACAGCTTGCAGGAATCAGTGCTCCTTATCGTGCAGATCCCAGGAACAGGACTCAGGTGGACAGGCATGGGGGCAAGTGCCGCTACCCACTCTCCAGCCCACAGCACCATTTTCTTTGAAGGGATGAAAGCATAAACACTTTAAATTCGTTTTCATAAGTGTATGAATATAAAGTAAAAGTGGGGAGCCCTGGCCCTCTTCTGGCCTGGCGCTGAATCATCCACGCCGGTCCTCCTTCACAAGCAGCTGTCCATGGGCTTGAGTTTCTGGTACCAGTGGATGACAGTGGAGAAAAGCAGCCAGAAAATGAAGTTTTGCTTTTAAGACTTATTTATTGTGTATACAGTGTTCTACCTGCGTGTATGCCTGCATGCCAGAAGAGGGCACCAGATCTCATTACAGATGACTGTGAGCCACCATGTGATTGCTGGGAATTGAACTCAGGACCTCTGGAAGAACAACCAGTGCTCTTAATCTCTGAGCAATCTTTCCAGCCCTCAGCTGAGCCTTCTTGCAAAAGATCATCTATTGATGTTTTCCCATAGAATGAGGGGGCAAAGAAGGTCATGGGACCCTCACCCGACTACCAAACCATTTCTTCCATGCAGTTGTATAAAACTGCATGCCCTAATTGCACTTGGCTTTGGGCTCTTTGGGGAGAGAGTAGAGAATATTGGTTGGCAAATCTGAGGGAAGAGGGATGTCTTAGTTAGGGTTTTTATTGCTGTGGCCAAAAAGCAAGTTGGGGAGGAAAGGGTTCATTTGATTTACACTTCCAGATCATAGTCCAACATTGGAGAAGTTAAGACAGGGACTCAAGCAGGGATGGAACCTGGAGGCAGGAGCTGGTGCAGAGGCCAGGGAGGAGAGCTGCTTACTGGCTTGTTCCCATGACTTTCTCAGCCTGCTTTCTTATAGAACCCAGGATCACCAGTCCAGGAATGGCACCAACAACCATGGACTGCACCACTAAATGAGACATGCCCTACAGTAGGATCTCAAGAAGGCATTTCCTCAGTTGAGGCTCCTTCCTCTCCGATGACTCTAGCTTGTGTCAAGTTGACACACAAACAAATCACTATTAAGCCACAACCCTTCCTTTCCTATTCACCCCCCAAGATCTCACATTAACACCATGAATCATTCTAAAAGTCACACAGCCTTTACAAATTCAAACACATTAAATTTTCAGTCTCTTTAAAATAGCCAATCTCTTTTAAAAGTCCAAGTCTTTCATCTGTGGGTTCCTTAGAAATATCAAAATTATATTGAATATCTTCTTCAAGAGGGAAGAACCAGGGCACAGTCACACTCTGAACCAAGCAAAAGCAAACTCAAACAGTATAAATAACCCAATATCCAGTTATATGGGATTCACTCACCATCCTCTGGGCTCCTTCAAAGCGCTTGGGTCACTTCTCCAACTCCGCCCTCTGCAGAACACACAGCTTGTCTTCTCAGCTCTGGCGGGCCCCCCTCCACTGCTAATGCTGTTCTTGGTGGTCATTGCAGAGCACTGGCATCTCCAAAATGCTGGGGTCCCTTGCTGCAACTGAGCTGCACTTTCACCAATAGCCTCTCAGGCTTTTTTCATGGTGTTATGTCTCAACTTCAGTCCTGGGTTTTAAGCTGTGACTAAGGATTCACATTCACCAATGGCCTGGCCTGGCCTCTCACAGTGCCAAGCCTCAGCAGCTCTCCATGACCCCTTCATGCCTTTAAAACCAATACCACCTGGATGACTCTTACACATTACCAAGTCCTGCTGCCAGCACGAGGTACAACCTTGCCCACCTCTGGAACACAGCTTCTGTGTGCTGACTCTTAGGAAACACTTCCCAGAAGATTTCACCTCAGTGATGTGGTTTCTTCTTAATCACCGTTAATTTCTAGCTCCAGCTGACCAGCATCGAGTATCCCAGCAAAGCAAAGTTTTGTTTTAGTAGTTCTGGTTGTTGACCCTGCCCCCTGACAATGGGTGGGACACACATATCAGCGTTCAGACATATACTTAGGCAGCTCAAAGGGCATTATGTTGCTTGACCACATCATGGCTATGTCACACTTATGGGGCTGCATAAGGACTCAGTATGTATGTGCAAGCTTCCCCTTTTAAGTTCACACTCTCTGTCTCCCTTCGCTGCCTCTCTTCTCTTCCTCTCTCTCCCTTTCCTGCTTCTCTCTCTCTCTCTCTCTCTCTCTCTCTCTCTCTCTCTCTCTCTCTCTCTCTCTCTCTCTCTCTCCTTTTGCCCCCTCACTTATCTGTCTGTCTCTCCAGTTATGAATGCCTGGTCTTAGCTTGGCTTGTTTCTTGCCAGCTTTTCTTAACTTAAATTATCCCATCTATCCCTATCTATCTTTGGCCTCAGGGCTTTTATCTTTCTCTATACCTGTTATTCCTGTATACTTTTCTTTCCTGGTTGTGTGGCTGGACAGCTGGCCCCTGAAGTCCCCTTTCTTCCCTTCTCATTCTCATATCCTTCTCTCCCAGATTTCTTCTCATATTTATCTTCTCTGCCTGTCAGCCCCGCCTAGCCTTGCTTCTGCCTCACTATTGGCCATTCAGCTCTTTATTAGGACCATCAGGTGTTTTAGACAGGCAAAGAATCACAGCTTCTCAGAGTTAAACAAATGTAGCATAAACAAATGTCACACATCTTTACATCATTTGTTTAAATGTTCCACAGCATAAGCAAAAGTCACACACCTTGTGGAGGAGCACAGATCATGTCCCGCCAGAAGAGGGAGTGGCCCAAGCTGAGGACCCGTGTCATCACATGATAGCACTGGGAGGAAGCTTCAGAGGTGAGACTTCAAGTGTTCACTAAGAAAAACAATTGGCTGCCCAAACTCACATCAGATAAGGTCATCACACTGGCAGACTGTGCCCAAGAGGGGCTAGGACACTAGAAACATAATAGGACTACCTTTAAAATCACTGGGTGATGCTTTTCCCACCTGGCGGTTTCTTACTTTAAGAGGGTTTTACTGCTGAACAATAAAGGAGATTCTGCTTGACTTGATACTCTGTTGCGTCTGATTGTCTCTGGTTTCTAGCGGACTGCCGGATGGGCGAACATCATCGCACTCTACCCTCTCTGACCTCGATCCAGGGGGTCTCTAGGCACTCCAACACCTTAAAATAACATTCCCCAACATTTTCCGTTTTTTTTCCTAAACAAAATGAAAAATTTTCACTTTAACATAGTAAGACTGTACACAATAAGAACAACTATCAAGGAAAGATTACATTCACAATGTGCTGAATTCCAATCCATTTTTGTCTGACAAATTTAAAGAAAATACTCCATAATCTATCTTAGTAAATCCAAATATTGTGCCTAACTTACTTTCTATTGTATCTAAGGAAAACTGCAAGTATAACTACCTAGTCTTCAACTCCATTAAAGGCACCAGAAAGATAAAATATTAATCAAGTAAGCAAAAAGTGTATTGCAGAGGACTTCTTCCTTCTTCCCACCCCCCCAAAAAAAACAGAGACATCCGACTGCCTGGGTCACCCAAAGTTCCTTTGCAATGTTGGTGCATCTGAGTCTTACTTTTTTGTTGTTGTTGTTTTGGTTTTTTGTTTGTTTGTTTGAGACAGGGTTTCTCTTTGTAGCTTTGGAGCCTGTCCTGGAGCTCACTCTGTAGACCAGGCTGGTCTCAAACTCACAGAGATCTGCCTGCCTCTGCCTCTGGGATTACAGGCGTGCACTGCCACTGCTCAGCTCTAGTCTGTTACATCTCCCGTGTGAGTCTGAGCCACTGTGCTCACCAGCTCTCTGAGTGGATAAAGCCGCAGAAAGCTTCAGGAAGCGTGAAGTAGGAGAGAAAGAAAGAAAGGGGACGAGAGGGGCACGAAGAGGGGAAGGAACGCAGCACAGAGAGAAAGCTGCAGAAGGAGAGCCTGGGATGTGACATCTCATGGGGTGCTAGCTAAGTCCGGAGAGGAAGCTAACGGAGCTGCCAGCTGGTCCAGAAGACATGCAAATGCCTTCGGGCATCGATGGTTACAGCTGTTTCCTGTTTGTGTCTGCTAACTTACTAACAACTCAGTCTCCACATCTAGAGCCCTGTGCGCTCTCCTCTCACGCAAAGACTCTCCTGAACCACTGGAGCCCTGGTCCACAGAGGTGGCTAAAGGATCTGTCCCCTTTACTCACATCACCGTAAGCCTGCCTAAGTAGGTTACAAGTAAATTTCATCTTTAGAAATAACCGAGTTGGTGGCGCACACCTTTAATCCCAGCACTCGGGAGGCAGAGTCAGGCAGGTGGATCTCTCTGAGTTCGAGGCCATCTTGGCCTACAGAGCGAGTTCCAGGACAGGCTCCAAAGCTACAGGGAAAGTCTGTCTCGAAAAAACAAAAACAAAAAAAAACTTAAACCACTCGTTTAGCACAGTTTTAGATATATTAAGACATTAACAGATCAGTACGGTTCCACACCCTAACCCTTACCCTATTTTTAGGTCTTATGTGAACGTAGTTTGTTGACACATACTGGGAAGCACAGTTTCTGGATCACATGGTTAGATTATGCTCTCCTTTTAAAAAAGAACTTTAAACTTGGGCCTTACAGGTGAAGTGGGCTACTGGAGGCTGCCACCATGGGAGTCAGCGAGAGGGAGAGAGGCAGAGAAAGTTTTTTTTAAAAAATGCTCCCCTCTAAAGAGAGAAGCAGCAGAGGAAGAGTTGAGAAACCCACAGGGGAAATGAAAGGACTCCTGAGAAGGGTAGAGCGAAGGCCAGAGACACAGGGAAGTAGGAAGAGTACAGCTTCAACCTTGTCACTTGCTGGCAGAGGGAAAGACAGCCGCTACTTTAAAAAAGTAAGCCCTTGGGACTAGCCCACATGCCTCGGCTCAACGGCAGGCAACGGCAGGTTTTGGTGACACGTGATTCTTCCCTCAGACAGGTCCCCAGGGAAGATAAATGCGTATGACTCTGAGGGCCAAGCTTCAATCTGAGAATCTGTTGTTACAATCGTAGCTGTCCTGGGGGCCTGAAATCCTGTAACAATTACAAGTCAGCGAGTCTCCTTTAGCTTACCAACTGTCAGCATGAGGGAAGGCCAGTTGGGAGGGCACTGGGGAGAGTCAAACACTGACAAGCCAAAGAGATGAACTGCAGAAGACTCCAATCCAGCAGGGACACAAGGAGATATGGCCCTCTTTCAGCTGGAACATATCTGACCAACTGATAATTACTATGGAGCCTAAGGCCAGTGGGTAAGTCAGCCTGTGTTGTTCATTGATAGACCTAAGAACTCTGTAACTCCAGGAGTGCAGCTATGGGCTCTCATCCCTTTATGCTAAGATCCCCAAGGAAACAGGAAACTTGGAAGAGAAGAACATAACCTCATCACAGTAAAGGCTATGTTTGCGCCGGGCGGTGGTGGCACACACCTTTAATCCCAGCACTCCGGAGGCAGAGGCAGGCGGATCTCTGTGAGTTCGAGGCTGGGCTGGACCGATAGCCTCCAAAACAATACAGAGAAACCCTGTCTTGAAAAACCAAAAAAAAAAAAAAAAAAAAAAGAGAGAGAGGATTGTCTTCAAACTCTAGAACAAGGCAAGTGTGCCCAATCTCTCCACTCATATTTAGTATTTTGCTCAAAGTCTTAGCTAGAGCAATAAAAAACAGAAAGAAATAAAATGGTACAGAGTACATGATCCTATGCTTGAAAAACTAAAGACTAAGCCAGAATACTCTTGGACCTAATGAACATCTTCAGCATTATAGTAGGATATAACATCAAAATTCACAAATATGTAATAGCTTTTCTGTATACCAATAATGAATTTGTCAAAAGAAATCAGTAGTGGGAAATCATATTTATAACAGCATCATTAAACAAATTAATTAATTGAAATACCTAGGACTCAAAAAAAGAAAAAAGAAAAAAAAGAAATACCTAGGGCTCACTGTCACCAAGAAGGTAAAAGAACTCAACAATGAAATCTTCAAGGCACTAAAGAAAGAAATTGAAGAAAGCATTAGAAGATGGAATGATCTCCCATGCTCTGGGGTTGGCAGAATTAATATTGTGTGTGTAAGGGGTTGCTATAGAACTGAAGGCAATCTGCAGATTCAACACAATCTCCATCAAAATTCCAATGACAATTTTTTTCACAGAGATAAAGAAAATTCAAAAATTCATTTTGAAGCACAAAAAGATCACCAAGAATCAAGGCAATTCTTCACAAAAACAGTTAAGTTGGAAGCATCATAAGACCTGCTCTCAAACTGTATTGCAGAGCCATAGTGTCAGCACAAAAATCATACAAACATTGTAACAGATCTGGAAATAACCCACACAGCTTTACCCCAATTGTGTGTGTGTGTGCTTGTATGCTCGAACTCAATGTTGACACCGGATGTCTTTCTCAATCCCTCTCCACTTGTATTCTGGATCTTTAAGGTGGGAAGATCTATCTTTAATCTGTGTCACACCTTCTGCTGGTAGCCTTTTATAAAAGACAGGGAAGAAGGAAGCTTGCTCTCTTTGCCAGCTTGATCTTGCCCTCTCTAGCAAGTCCAGGCCTTCCATTGCTTTTAAGCCTACTTTTTCTGGACTTTGGCACATACTGAAGACCATTTGAGACATCCAGCCTTGTAGACTGAACAACTACTGGAGTCTTAGACCTTCAGTTGGTTGGTAGACAGCCATTGTTGGATTAGCTGGACCACGGCCTGTAAGCCAGTCTAATAAATCCCCCCTCTCTATATATGCATATATATGTATGTATGTATGCATGTGTATATATATATATGTTATATATCCCAACCATAAAATTATTTTATTGCTATTTCATAACTGTAATTTTGCTGCTGTTATGAAACATAATGTAAATATCTGATATGCAAGATTTCTGATATGTGACCCCTGGGGGGCCATGACCTACCTGTAGAGAACCACTACTCTAGAGACTCCTGACTAATACATCCATCCCTCTGTTGATGGACTTAGAATGTCTAATTATTAGTGTACTGCCTTTTGAAATGTCTGTTCTTCCTCCATTGAATTGACTTGTCAATCCTCAATTTTGTCAAAACTCAATTTGCCGCATTTGTGTTGGTCTCTCTCATCTCTCTGTCCTGTCCCCATGTGTTGGACCCTTCCCCCATAGGGACTGCTGACCA